TAATTTTATGTCATGTGAATATCATCTAAATTAAAATATATGTTGTTGTTAGGTGTCATAATGTCAGTTACCCAATGTACAACTGAATGTAATATGGCCAGGTCCTGTGCCATCCTCACAATCCTTGCTATGCCTGAACACATCATTGCAGCCACTGTGTCAATCCATCTCACTGAGAGTCTTCTCCTTCTTTGTTGACCCTCAACTGTACCAAGCCTGATATCCTTCTCCAGGGAATAGTCCCTCCTGACAACATAATCAAAGTAGGAGGCCATTTTCACTTCCAAGGAGCATTCCAACTGCACTTCTTCCAGGACAGTTTTGCTCATTCTTCTGGCAGTCTGTAGTGTTTTCAGTATTCTTTATCAACACCATAAATCAAAGGCACCAACTCTTCTGTGGTCTTCCTTATTCATTGTCCAGCTTGCATATGAGCAGCTGGTAAATTCCAACCACTTGCCATTTGGTTAGCAGTGAAGTGCTTAACTAATGTACCACGAAAGGTCCTTGGGATATTCTTTCCCACTGCCATCAAGTTGATTCCAAAATATCATGGTTTGGGTCAGGTGCACCTTAGTCTTCAAGGGACATCCTTGCTTCTTAACAGTTTAAGGAGGTCTTTTGTGGCAGATTTGCCCACTGTAATACAATGTCTGATTTCCTGACTGCTGTTTCCATGGGTGTGGACTGTGGATCCAAGTAAAATGAAACCCCCAACAATTTCAATCTTTTCTCCATTTATCAGTGATGTTGCTTATTGTTCAGTGGTTAGGTTTTTTTGTCTGTTTGTTTTGTTTTTTAATGTTGAGGTGTAATCCATAGTAAAGTCAGCAATCTTTGATCTTTATCAGTAAGTGTTTCAAGTCATCTTCACTTTCAGCAAGTAAGGTTGTATAATCTGTATATTGCAGGTTGTCATTGAGTCTTCCTCCATTCCTGATGCCACACTCTTCTTCATACAGCCCAGGTTCTTGGATTATTTGCTCACCATACAGATTGAATATGTAAAGTGAAATGATACAACCCTGATGTACACCCTTCCTGATTTTAAACCATACAGTATCTCCTCGTTCTACTTGAATGACAGCCTCTTGGTCTACATACAGGTTCCTCATGAGAAAAGTTAAGTGTTCAGGAATTCTCACTCTTCACAATGCTATGTCTAATTTGTTATGATCCACACAATCAAAAATGCTTTTGCATAGTCAATAAAATACAGGTAGACATCCTTCTGGTATTCTAAGACCCATCTTATATCAACAATGATATCCCTTGTTCCACATCCTCTTCTGCATCCAACTTGCATTTCTGGAAGTTCCCTGTCAATATACTGCCACAACCATTTTGGAAGATTGGGCAACCTATTTCCATAGGGATACCACTTTGGAAACCCAAGGAGGGGTCGCTATAAGTTGGAATCAATTGACAGCAGTGAGTTTGGTTTGGTTCTTTTTGTGCGATATTAATGATATTGTTTGATAATTTTCATGTTCTGTTGGATCACTTTTCTTTGAAATGGGCACAAATATCCATCTCTTCCAGTCATTTAGCCAGGTAATATATATATATATAAAATTCAAAATCCACAAAAGCAAGTAAGTGTAAAACAAATTTAAATAAACTTTTAAGTGATATTTCAATTGCAAAAAAAATAAATAAATAAAGACTGGATTGTCTTGAAAGAATATGATATGCACAAAATATATTTTTATTATTAAATGAAATAAGGGGAAATTATCTATCATATGTTTCCCCTTACAAAGAAAAATATATCAATTTATTTATACTTCTTATTCTAAACTAGTTCTGAAACAAACACAGGGAAGAAAACTGGAAGATGTGAGATAAGTGTTAGAAGGAGACATACTATGTACTTCTCATGCCTTTGGAGTTTTGTACCATGTATGTAGATGCTACTTTTAAAAATCAATTAAATTTAGTGGATGAAATAAATGCCAATGCCCTCCATCAAGAGACCTCATCCCTGCTCCTCTAATCTTTCCTAACAACTCCTCTCCAATCTACACAATTGCACCTCCGGTAGAGACTATTTTTTACTGCCAAATGAACTCTGTGGCCCATTCCTTACTTTCTACCATCGTGTATAAGTTTCTCTCTGACCTGGAACTTTTCCTTCTCCCCACAGCCGCCCACCCCCCTTTTATTCCTTTCTAATTTTTATTGTGATTTGGGTGAAAATTTACAGAGCAAATTCATTTTCCATACATTAGTTCATACACACTTTATTTCATGACACTGACTGCAATTCCCCACAGTGTAACAGCTCTCTTCCCACTTCTTCCCCATAGTTACTTCTTCTCTGTGTCCTTCCCTCCCAGGAACTCCCCCCACCCCAACCCCCAGCTGCCTCCCTGTGCAAACACTGTCCTTCTGTTCTCCCATCTTGATCGCTCCAAGGAGTGTATCTACCTGATGTAAATGTTCACCCCATATGCCTATTGTTTGGCTGGAAGCCACAGGAGTGAGTTCAGTTCCAGACCTGAAGGGTAATTAGGGGCCATAGTCTCAGAGGTCTCGCTAGGCTCTATCAGACCAGCAAACTTGGTCTTTTTATGATTTTGAGTTTTGTTCCACATTCTTCACCCAATCTGTCCAGGATCTTTTGCACTGATCCCTCTCTTGAGTGGCTGACAGTGGTAGCCAGGTACCATTTAGTTCTTCTGGTCTTATGGTCAGACAAGCTGATGATCACATGGTCTACTAGTTCCTTGGACTAATTGTTTCCATGTTCTTTGCCTTTCTTCATTCTTCTTCGCTCTGGAGGAGACACCCATTGTTGTATCTAGATGGCCGCTTACAAGCTTTTGAGACCCCAGTTGCTACTCACCAAAGTAGTATGTAGAACAATGTTTTTGTGTAGTATATTATGCCAATTAAGGTTGATGTCCCCTGTGACCATGTTCCTGAGCCCACAGGTCCAACTACTCACTCCCTCAGGATAGCTGCACAGCCTCTTATTTTTAGACTCAGCATCAATACTACTTTCTTCAAGAGCCTTTCTTGGCTACTCTGATCTTCATTATACTTTCTCTCCCATGAAATGTGATGGTTGTGACCTGGGCCTCACAAATAATTACATCATGCTATTTGTTCTCAATAGATCTTGCTTCATGTGAATTGCTCCTGTCTTTTAAATGCTTTAAGTATTTTCAGAGCAGACTAGCAACATGATGCAAATGGTTTTGTACCCTTGACACTGTCAACTTAGGGCTGAGCACATATAGAGTGCTCACCATGCCTGCTGGTGGAGGTTGAATGAAAAACAAAATAGCCTTTTCACTTTTACCAGGAAAAGACCTTCTTATGGAATGTAGGAGTACTGGGTCCTGGGGCTCAATTGGAAAACATCTACCTTGCCTAAAGGTTTATAAGTTGGTGATAATTAAAGAAAAAAGAAAAAACTCTTCAGTCAAGCAGCACACATCCAGAGTACATGAGCAGATCCAACCATTAAACAACTAGTTTGTGGCCCTTAGACAAAAGTGGTCACTGACTCAAGTCTGTAAGCAGTCATCTTCCTGAGTGCCACCCACATACCAGGAGGCATCTCTCTTCCTTGCTCCCACAATGCCATTTAAAGATACAGCCACCTTGATCTTTTCCTATCACATCAGCCTTGGTACCTGCCTTAGGTTGAGTTCTCCAGAGAACCAAAACTGGTGAAATTTATAGATGATAGATAGATAGATGTATCTCAAGGAAATGGTCCATGCAGTTGTAGAGGCTGGCAAGTCCCTAGTTTGTGGGTCACATATCAAGCTGGAGGCTTCTCCTCATTCATCAACCAGGGGCTGATGAAACCAAAATCACCAGACAATACGTCTGGCTGCTGGATTCGGAGGCTGATGAATAAAAGATCAGCAGGTAAAAGGGCAGGTTGCTGGCTTACAGCGTGTGGAGACAATAATCCCAAGATTGGCAGACAACATGGGAGGCCACTGGTTCAAGTCCAGATGATTATGAGCCGGATGCAGGATCTTGAGCAAAAAGCCAGAGCACTTTGCCAGAGCTTTTCCTTATATATTAGAAGCAGCCCATATTTTGAAGAAAACTCCTTTTCAGTCAACTGATTGCTCATGTTGTTGTTGTTGTTGTTATGTGCCGTCGAGTCGGCCCCGACTCATAGCGACCCCTCCTTGGGTTTCCTAGGCAGTATCACTACGGAAGTAGATTGCCCCATCTTCCTTCCGAGGAGTGGCTGGTGGGTTTGAACCGCCAGCCTTCTGGTTAGCAGTCAAGTGCCTGAGCCACTATGCTACCAGAGCTCCTGCTCATAGCAGATCTCATTATGGATGATTACATTATACCAGATCTCATCATGAGGGATGACTATGTGGTAACTGATAAACCACTTACAATCATGGCCCAGCCAAGTTGACACACAACCTTAACTATCACAGTCCCCGTCCTGATTACCAATCACCCATTGCTTGTAACATTAAAGCACTCCATTTTCAAGTCTTAACCAGATTCTGCATTCCCTAACTGTCTGTGTGCTTTTCAGGTACGTTTCCAGTATGGATGAAGGGATTGGTGGAGAGTCCTCTGTCCTAGCTACTCTGTCTTATAAGGTGCCCTGTGTAGTTAAACACTCAGTTTCTGGGAATGAGTGTCCAAATTGCTGTCATAACACAGAAACTGAGCCATCAGGCTGGTATAGGGTATGGAGAATGGAAAGAGAATGGGAGTGTAGACACTGCCTATAACCAAGGCATTCTTAGTTGCAGACTTCTGTAACCCTCACAGATAACCAGATGTTTTCATCTACAGACTGAATCATCACATGAGCTTCCCTAACACAAATAAAGGCTTTGGATACAACACCTGCCTCATGAAACAAGAGGGTTTTGTGATGCTGTCAATGTTCTGATTCCGTCACCTGTGAGGCTGAGATAGCAAGGCTTAACACAGGGAGTCATTAGGCACCACTACCCTAGATAAAGGGATGACTATTCGTCTCATCTAATGAGACTTAGACCATGTTAAGCCCTACATTTGTTCTATGGGATATTGGATACCCCTTATATATCTATGGTTCCATCTTCATCATTATCCTAATCATTTGGCAAGTGAAAAGGAGCCACTATGAATTAAGGGTGGAACCTAACAAGAGCAGCTGTCAGGTAGGGAAATATTCTAATCACTACTACTAAACTGTTACTTCACAGACAAGAAGTTTTCAACCCTCCGTTTCTCTCCTTTTCACCTTTGCCCCCAATTTCTTTTATACCAAACCTTTAGTTACTCTTGTATAATCATTTAATTCTTGGATCCAGTTCCTTGCTATATCCTCCCTGCAGCATACCCTAAAGCAAGAACATCCTTACCTGGCTTGGGGTTGAGATCTAGAAGACACAAAGTCTACTTCCCAGGATCTCAGAAGACCTCCATGTCCGGGTGATTTTTCCGGTTGGTGGTTCTTTAAGGCCTTTATAAGCTAATGGAACCACTCAACCTTTAATCTGTTCCACTCTTCTTCCTATGTCATCCCAAGCAGCCCACAAAACCTCTCCTGGGAGGGGGTGAAAGGTATGATGTATGGAAGAGCCTTAAAGGGAGGCAGAAATAAACAGAAGGGAAATGTTGGGGTAAAATGACAGTCTGAGGATTTGGAAATGAATCAAGGTGATGGTCGCACAACAGGACAAATATAATTCATGTCACTGAATTGTTCACTTAAAAGTGGTTAAAACAGCAAATGCTTTGTTATACTTTTTACCACAAATTTTTTTTTTTAAGAAAAAGGTAGAATAGGGAAAGGAAAAGTAGAACATATAAAGTATAGAAAGATATATAGAAAGGGACTGAGAAATGTTTATGAGTTTCATCTCGCTTTAACATTCAAATAAAATGATGTCCCAGCTTTACATTCTTTTTTGCCTTTAAGCAACACCGAAGACTGAGAAAAAGGGCTAGAGATGCGGCATCAAGAGGTAAAGTCCCAACCTCTCATCTGACTCCCCTTCACTATGGATGAGGTTCCCATAGATCCTGGCCCTCTCCAATCCTTGGTGCCAGGAGCAAGGTGCTCTAAACACTGAAGGTCCAATTCTGTAAATTGATAACTTCTTACAGAAACTCTCTTGGATGGAATATCAAGGTCTGAGAATGTTCCAAAATTCTCTACCTTACTTTCCTGGGAATGGCAAGGATAGGAAGAAAGTCCTTAACTGTGCTACTTACTAGTTTTTTGACTCTGAATATCACTAAATCTCTTAGTCTTATTATGCAGAAGATGAGAACAACACTTATGACACTGCCTCACTCACACTGCAGTTATAAAGATCAAATAAATTTAGTATGGGGCAGCACAATGTAAATGTTTAAGTTGTACACAGATATGCTTTAGGGCACAACTTGGGATTTTGAGTTTCCTCTCATTCAGAGTCAAAAGCTTTCCTACTCAGTTTCCTGTAGGATGACCCTGACCCCCTCCTGTCACATCTAACACTGTCTCTTGGTTTCTCAGCTAGGAGAGCTTGCCAGAAAGAAGCTGAGAAGCCGTGGGAACTACTATCTGTCATGAAAAGGTGATATGCTCTTGGCTATCTCCCAACTCCCAGTCTGGCCTGTGATAACTTCTCAACTTGACCTGGGGCAGGGATGAGGAGAGGAATAATGGCTGGTTAATGGGTTGAGAGGGTTGCCAGGACCAAGGGAGTCAGGCATCTGTGAAGAGAAGTCTCACAATTCTGCTCTTAGTATTGAGCCAAACCAAAGTAAACCCACTGCCATCGAGTTGATTCTCACTCATAGTGACCCTCATTGGGCTTCCAAGGCTGTAAATCTTTATAGTAGATTGCCTCATTTTCTTCCCATGGAGCAACTGGTGGGTTTGAACCACTGACCATCAGGCTTGCAGCCAAATGCTTTGCCCACTTAGAGCTAAGGCCACAGTATTCTTACAATTCAGGGTTTGACTAGTACATAATTCACAAGCAACTCTACAAGGAGTAGAATTCAGTAATGAAACAAGCTATTCAGTTAAGGCAGTGGATTTTGCATGAATAAGTCATTATCATATTCTCTTTGCAGTCCTTTCTGGGCAGACTTTTCTAAGTCTACCAGAACCGTAAAACCATTACCTCCTCTGGTCTGTCTTCAGAAAAGTCAGTTCCTGGAACAGCCCTCAGACAGAAGCCTGTTAAGATCTCCAGAGAACAGGATTCGTTTACAAAAGATACTGTGCACAGCACAAGGACACTCCATAGCCCCCAGAATGCAGTTTCCACAATAATCTCATTTTTCACAGTATGGAAACACTGAATAACAAGCTTTGTTTTCTTAGCCTCAAACAAGACCGACTCCAGGTTCTACCTGGACATGTTCCTCATGTTCCCACTGTGCTAACCACCTGACACCCTTATCTGCCTGGTTCCCTTCTCCTGGTTGAGCTTCTCAACATGATGCAGCAGAGAATTGATCTCACCTTTCAGTTCTTTCAGAGGGTCCTGCCCACCCATAGGTTCTCTGAGACCTCACCCAACAAGATTCAAATCATCAGCTCAGCCAGGCCTAACCTCTGAATGGCACTTTCTTAGGGAGAAGAGCAAAGTGTAGACTCCCAGAGGGAGGCTCAGGGCTTACAGCCCTAGGAGAGGGCAAGGCTAATCCCCTTGGCCACACTCTTCCAAGGAGGCAGATGACAGTGCATGAGTAACAGTTGCCATGTTTCCCTTCCCAGCCAGAACTGGCTTCCTCGGGAGGAACGCGTGCGGCAGCTCCTGTGTGCAGATCCCTGCTGCCGTATCTGTCATGACATGGCTCTGGAGATTCAGCAACTACTGACATGTAAGAACACTGAAGAGGGGATAACGCAGTGCTCCTCTTGCCTAGAGTTTTTGTCCACTTCTAGCGCCTCTTTTGAGCAGACTCTAGAGATGCATTCCCAGCACTTCAGAGATCTTTCAATGCCATCTGCAACTCCCATTCTGTCACAATTAGCAGATCAAAAATCCTTAACCCAGACGACTGACCCGTCGACCAATGTGATCAGCATCCAAGATTACTGGGCTGAACACCTGGACCTAGAACAGGAATTTCAACTGCCAGATGTACCGAGGGACCCAGGGACTATGTCGTCTTTAAGGACTGAGGAGCTTAGGTTTCCTGTGAACCAGCAAGACATGATTAACACCAGCTGTGAATTTGTCCAGGAGTACCAAGGCCAGCAGCCCTTGAAGTCCCATGTCCCTTTCCTCTCCCTGAAAACAGAGCTCCCTCATCTGACACATCCTATGGCTTTGCATAGAGACACTGTCCTTCCTGCCCACCTGCCATTCCTCAGTGCTGAAGTCCTGGGGATTCTTGAGGTTCATGTAAAAAAGTGGGTGCATTTTCAGAGGTGGGGACTCCCCAGACGTGTAGAGAAGTCCCTGAGGCAGCTTATGCCAGATCCCCCATTGTTCTGCCAGTCTGGAAATAGCCAACCATTTCCTTTCATCATGAATTATACTCCTAATGCCTATGTTGAAACAACCAGGACCATTTCACATAACACCTGGGATTCATGTATGGTTGGCCAGCCCACCCAGGCCTTATGGGTTTCTGAATGGTCCAACCTGGACCCAGAACAAAGCCACCATTGCCAGAAAACCCCAAACCTTCTGGCTCTGGTCTTGCCCTCTCCAGCCTTTAAAGTCCAAAATGGACTCTATCCTCAACCTGAGGGACAGGCTGAAGACTCAGAGGATCGTTTGAAGCAGAAGCACAGACAGCTATTCTGCGGCCTCCCTTGTCTTCACAGTGAATCCCTAGTTGCCACCTTCTTGGGATCGCAAGGCCTCTCCATGAACATGAGCATGTCCCAGCCTTCCTTGAATGTTCCTTTTCTCTTCAACGAGCCCTCCTTCCTCCCCCTGCTGCCTAATAATCCACCCCAGTCAGCTCCACCTTCTTCCCTACCTACCTCAAATTGGGTCTCTCCACCTGAGCAGATAAACGTCCCATTTCTGACGCTGGCTGAACGTGAAGGCTTGGAGTGGCACCTGCTGCAGAGGCAGCTCCAGCTTAGGTGGGACTTGGCAATTGTTTTCCAGAGATCTCAGCATGCCAAGAGCCCCATGCAGTATGAGCCCTGTGACACAGTCCAATCCCCTGAGACCATGGAAACTTACTGCTCAAGGAAGCCCATGTCAGTCCTCACAAGAGAGCTACTCTTCTTCCCAAACGGTGCCCGGAGGCTGCTAGAGTTCCACTTCCAGAAGCAGTTGAGTTACCATCGCTGGGGTCTGCCTCAGATGATCAAGCAGTCCATCCAGCTGCTCCTGTCCTCTGCTGACCAGCAGTCCCTGCCCTGGAGCACCACAGGCTTGGGCAATGTGAGCGTCCCCCAGCCAGAGGCCAATGGGGTTAGTGATCTGTTCTCATCCACCTCAGCCCCACTGTCAGTCCCCATGCCACACTTGCTTACCCAGGCAAAGGCAATACTGCAGGCCCACATTGAGTACAAATGTTGGCAGATCCACCAGGGTACTATCCCTGCCTGTGTATGTATCTCCTGGGATTGCAGAATTTCTGGGAGCCTGGCAGTAGCTCCCTGTCCCTGCAGTCCAGAAAGTAAGCCCCTAGAGCTACAAGCAGCAACTGATACTGACCTACATCAGAAAGTTGTGCCCTGGATGCCAACAGACATTGATCAGCAGCAGGAGACCTCAACAGGTACTAACATTAAACAGACTAAGGTGTCCCAATGCCTGTCCAAGGAGGCCATTCAGAAACTGGAGACAGCTGTACAGCATAAGTATTTGGCCCTTCTGTCAGGGCTGCCTGCTCTCTATTATGTGACTCTCTCTAAGGCCATCACCCCAGAAATCCCTAGCCAACCTGCAATCACAGAAATAACGCCCGAGCCTGTCAAAATCACAACAGAGCCTCTGACTGAGATGACCGCATATGAAGAGCAACTCATAAGTCCTGGGCCAGGCTCTTCAGAGGACAACGAGACTTGTGCAGACAGTGCACAGGAGTTCCTGACTGAAGTACAGGAGGCAACAATAGAGATGGTGCCTCTAGAAAACCAGACACACACTGATACTCCACTCTCACTCAGAACACCCACCTTGACTAAACTAAATTTCCATCTGAGAAAAAAGGTCCTAGAGATACAGTGGGGAATTCCCACACAGGCAAGGGAGTCCAGGGACCAAACTGTAGCAGTCCAAGAGAACATATACACAGAAGAGGCATGTGGAAGTCTAAACAACCAAAGAAAAACATTGCTCCAGGGACTCCCCATCTCAACAGACATTCCATACACCTCAGATCCAGAATGGGCCTCCTTTAAAGAACAGTTGGCCACTGAGCTAAAAGTAGTACCACAGAGACAGAAGCAAGCTAGTTCTAGACCAGCCTCACATGGCTCTGCCCACTGGGTCTCTAAGATCTCACCCAGTGGGGACATGACAGATGCCCAGGTACTTTATGTTCAGGTGGAAGCCAGAGTGAAAAGGCCCAGCCTGGAGGAGGCCTGGTTCCCTGAGTCTCAAGACCCTAATAAGAGCAAGGACTCAGCCCAAGGACTCACACTGGCAGAAAAGAATGAGCACCCAGGGAAACTCAAATCAGCAGAGGACCATGGAGAAGGGGATGCAGGGTCTAGCCTTCCCTCAACCAGAGAAAACAGACCCCCTGCTGGAGACCAGAGGCCAACAAGGACGCCTCTGAACAGGACACTCCGAGGTCCTCGGCGAAGGAGCCATAGTTTTGATCTTGCTGCCTCCTGTCAGCAGAGTCCTCAGCACTGTCCTTGGCTTAAGAACCCAGAGGCACCTCAAGGAATCCCTAGGGGGGAAGAATCTGAGAATAGCCTGCAAAATAGTCAAGCCAAGCTGAATCCTATCACAGAGCCAGCAAGCAGTGCCCAGCATGTAGTGCCCCAGGATTCACAGGGCCAGCTTCTGATGGGCCCACTAATTCACGGTAAGCCTTTATGGAGCCAGACTTTGCAGGACCACATTCTGCAGGGCCAAGTGACCACAGCCCACACTCACAAGAGCCCCAACCTTCCAGTAGCTGGCTTAAGAAATAAGATGAAATGCTTCTTGCACTATATGAATCCCAAGACAAAAGGCAAAATGGATGAAGATCCCATGTTCTCTAGAACAGAGAAAATGACCAAAAGAAGAAAAAAAATTGCTGAAAAGAGCCTAGCCTCAGCCAAAGGCCCTGTGGGACAAGCTAAGATGGAGAAGACAATAGGAGACCCTAAGGACCAATCTTCCCCCACTGAGAAGCAGGGCGGCCTGGCCTTTTGGGATGGCCCCCAGGTCCTAGACAATCAGCTCCGGCACCGCTCTCATCAACTCCACTCTGCCTCAGTCCTGGGCTACCCCCGCCACTGTCCTCGGCACTGTCCTCGAGTGGCTTGTGCCACCCAATCAGGAAATTCATCCTAGGTCCCAACTCTCACCTCTGAGGGAAACACTGGTCTCTTCAAGGAGAAGATCCAATGTGTTCACAGAGTTTGTAGGCTTTCAAACCTTGAGGAGGACTTGTCATTTTCATTAAGGTACAGGTGGCACACAGTGCCACTTCCAAATATATATCTGAGCAAAGAACTGTCTGTCTGTTCCTTCTTGTATCCACTGTGGTATATTAAGGGAATGCATGAAAGAAATTTAAAAGTCCTTCCTATCTGGGGAAAAAAAGCTTAAATCCACATTTCAGATGGACCAGCATTCCAAACAACTCCTCCCAGCCCCACACTGGATAAAGAGACTTGAGCATAGAAGGCAAGGCCCTTGTCTAAGTTATACTGAAGGTTAAAAAAAAAAAAAAAAAATCACTGCTGTTGAGTCGATTTGACTCATAGCGACCCCTCCTTGGGTTTCTGAGGTGGTATCACTATGGAAGTAGATTGCCCAATTTGCCTTCCGAGGAGTGCTTGGTGGGTTTGAACCACCAAGCTTCTGGTTAGCAGTCAAATGTCTTAGGCACTATACCACCAGAGCTCCCATTGAGGGTAAAGATCCGGCTAAAATTCAATCATGGCTTCCCATGATGACTGCAGAGGAGCAAAGTGGACATGATGATAGCATTGAACAGAAAAAGTGGTTGAGAAAGCAATGCACTGTTGACCCTCACATACTCACAATCTGGAGAGAGTTTTTAGGGGAGTGCCTAAATCCTTACTTAAAGTGCTCCATCCCTGAAGAGGTGCTTTTGTGGTTTGCAAAAGTAGGTAGTGTGGCAGATGTCAAAACCAAAATACAGAATTTCCTCTCTGCCCCATGTTAGTACTGACAGGATCTTTCTGGGCAATTCATCTGGGAGCCTGCTATGGCCCTGGTGCCTGTTTCCCACCTCCACTGCCTCTCAACAGCACAGAAGGAATGCCTCCTAGAACGAAAATCAGAGTAGGAGATGGAGAAGTGTTTGTTCCCGAGCCCCAAGGAAAGGCAGAAAATGAGGTAGGTAGGGAGAGAATATAGAAAGAGGTGCGAAATATCAAGGACAGCATGTGAGGTTCCTGACCAGGCATGATAAGAAAGAAAACACGGTTTTCTTTGCACTTAAAAAAAAAAAGCCCTCAGCCAGGAAGCCAACCCAAGGCCCCATGCTCTTAAAGAAGGGAGGTGGGTAAACTCTGAGCTCCAGTCTGCTTGCAGATAGTGCAATATGAGCAGTGAGCTGAGCACTGAAGTTTCTGGAAAAGAACCACAGAGAAAACAAGATTTTTTTGTTTTGTTTTGTTTTGTTTTGTGTTTTGAGCTTGTTTTACATTTAATGTAATGCATATATTTGGTTTCATTCCCCATTCACCATGTCCAACCCTAACCCAGTCTCCCCCTCTCCCTACCCTGTAACCCTCCCCCTGTACCCCTCATATTTATGCACTCCTGTGTGTCCTGCATTTCCTCAGTTTGAATGTTGGTCCTCTGGTGTCCCATGGTCTATTGCTCTAAGGGATGTATTACCCACAGAGTATGTGGGTACATCATCCTAGGTTGAGTGGTCTGCATGTACATCTTGTTAACTATTGGGCTAAGAGCCCGCCCCTGGGGGTGAGTTTTACTCCAGGCACAGAATGTATTCCAGGGCTATAGTATTGGGAGTCTCGCCAGATTTCATCTGACCAGTAATTCTGGTCATTATTAAGTTTTTGGATTTTGTTCCACGTTTTCCCTCCCACTCCATCCAGGATCTCCAGATTTGATTCTTTCCTGAGTGGTTGGCATTGGAAGCCCAGCACCATCTAGTTCTTCTGGTCTCAAGGGCCATCGTGTCCTAGGGCTGATTGCTTCTAAATGCCCTTGGTTTTTTTTTTTTTTTTTTTTGCGTTCTTCTTCACTTCTGATGATAGGAGACTGTTAGCTGCATCTTAGATGGCCGCCTGAAAGCTTTTAAGACCCCAGTCACTACTCACCAACGTAGAATGTGGAGCAACGCTTTTATGAATTTTGTTGTGCCAATTGAGTCTGGTGTCCCCCAGTACTATGGTCCTGAGACGGTAGATCTATTGGATCTCTCTCCCATAGTGTCTGGTTGTCTGTGAGGGATTACTCTGTGTCTGTCTTCTATTGTTTCTGTAAGGACTGCAGGTATTTTGTATCACTGGTGTCTGTGCAAGATTAGCCTCAGTTGAATTTATCTTTGTCTAGAGTATACTTCTGTTCACTGACTCCCATCTGATCATCTCAGGTGTTTATGTGTTTATCTGTATAGCCTAGTGTTTGGTGTTAATGGCAATGCAGTATTGTGGACACATTGGTTGGTATTAGCATCTGTCGTCTATCTCTTATGCGCACAATTTGGTGTCCTCCCATTTCCTAATGTTATCATGGTGGTCACAGATCCTTCCCGTATATCCCTCCCCCCTATCCATGTCAGCATGTAGGCCCCAACTAGCCCAAAATTAATCCCTCCTCTTCCCTCTCCATCCCGGTAACCTACTAGGTGAGTTCAAAAACAAGGGGTTTTATAGAAATACCCCAGCCTATCAAGTTACTGCCAGCAGTTTGGCCCTGGCCCTGCTGCTGTATCTCATTTCTACAGTACCTATACGTGGGGTTCTTCTACATCATCCTCCTGTCCTTCCACTTTGCTTTCCTGCATATACTTCCATGATAAGCAGCGGTGCTCAACTCAGGCAGCCATATCCCCTCCCAGGATCTGCCTTCCCCTCAGAAGGATTTTAGCCAGATCTTTACCCTCAATGTGAGCTCTGGTGGTATAGTGCCTAAGGCATTTACACCACCAAGGACTGAACCATATCACCCTTCTAGTGCCAGCCCCCTCAATGTAAGCTTGTTTATTGTTATTCTTCTCTATATCTTCATATGTTCCACTTCATTTGAGAAAGCACCAAAACTGTACTAACCAAACTGCCAGATAAAGAATGAAGCTTTTGGAAAGTGTCCTGCCCATTAACCAGCTAGTGGCCAGGAACCTAGATTATACTGCAACCTGAGTCTTTAACAGCTCAGCTGCTTAGAATTGAGATGGAACTCTAGCCCTTTTGCCTCTCTCTGAAAACATCCAATAATTTTCTATTCCATGGAAAAATGTTCATGCAATTCTCTTAAACCCTTGAAGTGAAATAAGGAAACTCAAGACAGTGGCTGACAGGCCAGGTGAGATCTGTAAGCAGCTGCTAGGAAACAGAGCCCCTCCAAACTATGTCCTATGACACCCTCCCTCACACAGAGATTAAATGATGATATTCTTCCTATGAGCCTGTTTTAGGAGGTCTCTCAGCTCACCATACTGGAACTCTTAGAGTCCTTTCCTATCTCCTTTTCAGCCCTCTCTGTCCTCCCAACCCCAATGCCATCACCAGATGAGCAATCTACCATCAAGGCAACCTCAGTAGTCCTGGCCAGAGTTGGATGTCTCACTGGTGACCGTTGTGCTCATATTCCCTTGAACTCCTGAGAAAACTTAAGTGACTCTGTACTTGCTTCTCCTGTTATCTTGATTGGGGCAGGCACTGGTGTCCCTGGGAAGAAGAATGGAACCTCTGGACTTCTTAAAGAGGCCATGGTAAAGCAGCACAGGGTTGTGTTTGCTCACTCCATACAAGGTCAAGTATGGGTAAAAGATTTGGCTCATCCTCTCCCCTTTTGAAGAAGAATTCTCATTGAAGGGGCCAGAGAATGATTTCAGAACAAAATGATAATGAACAGAGGCAAAGGGCAGCAAAACTACAATGCAAGGAAAACATTTGAGCAAGAGTTTTTATAATGTTGGGGCCAAATGTCTGACCCTTAGGGAGGATGCAGGTTTCAAGGTCTAATTCACAGCAATGGATGAGGAAGAAGATCATCAGGGTTAGAATTCTACTCTGGCATCTTACAAGTTAATATTTCTAATCCCCAGTTTCTTCATCTTGGAAATGAGGATAACCATTCATCCATATGCTAAGTCTTTATTACTACCAATGTACTGATGATTCCCAAAGCCATTTCTCTGACCTAGTCTTCTCCCTCAGCTTCAGACAGTACAGCCAACCAACTGCCATCAAGTCAATTCTGACTCACAGTGACCCTATAAGACAGTAGAACTACCCCACAGGGTTTCCAAGACTGTAAACCTTTACAGAAGCAGACTGGCCACATCTTTCTCCTACAGAGTGGTTGGTGGGTTCAAATCACAAACCTTTTGATTAGCAGCCAAATGCTTAACCACTGTGCCATCAGTGCTCCTGTACAGCCAACAGCCAGGGAGAAATTCAATCTTGCATCAAAGATATCACAAATCAATGTTAAAATTTCCACACATTTGTCCTCTATCCCATCAAACTTTTCTAGTATCATTGAATGGGGTCACTGACTTTCTTGCTTACCACACATACCAAGTCATCTAATCTTGATATCTCTTAAATTGGCCCCTCTCCTCTATTCCTACTATCTTTGCTTACACTTTAATTTCTCATCCTTTCTTACCTTAATTATTATAATGGACTCAGGTTCAGGAAAGGGAAGAAAGGGAGGGAGCGCCGGGGACTACAAAAGCGGCAGGATCCAGGTAAGAGGCGGAAGGCAGGACCCATCCCCCAGAGGAAGGAAAGGGAGGGAGCACAGGGGAACCACAAAAACGGCAGGATGCAGGTAGGAATTAGGTAAGGGAGGGCAGACAGGTTTACAACAGCTAAGGGAAACAAACTTGCCTGTCAGTTTGCCATCCTGTGGGGTTTGCATGTTGCTGTGAGGCTTGAGGCTGTGCCACCGGTGTTTCAAACGCCAGCAAGGTTGCACACGGTGCTCAGGTTTCAATGCAGCTTACAGACTGTGACAGACTAGGAAGAAGGAAGAGGCCATTCACTTCTCAAAAACTGGCCAGGGAAAACCTTATGAATAGCAGAGAAACACTGTTTGATACATTACTACGCAACTTTATGAATAGCCTGGAAGCATTGTCCGACACAGTGCAGGAAGATGAGCCCCTTGGGTCGGAA